CGCTTTTACACAATTCCCAACGAGATGGGAATTGTGTAATGTTTCTTCGTCCACCCGATTTAGGCTTTGCCTTATCGAGTGGGTGTCTCACTCGCGTTTCCGCGTTTTTCTCGCGTTTCCGCGCGTTGGTCGCGTCGCGATCGCGTCGCTGTCGCGTCGTCGCTGATCGGTCGCTTTGTCGCGTCGTCGCTTCGGTGTCGCCTTGTCGCTTGCGGTCTCACTGGTCACGTCTGCTATCCTCGGTGGTTGGCTGCTGAATGCGGGAGGAACGACTGCAATTCTCTGGCCGTATTTAAGACAGGTGACGTTACGACCGTAGACTCCGCCCCCAGGCGTTTGCCGGCAAACGTTCGCGTCGATTGGTCGGTTAGTTCATATAAATACAACGTTCGCGGAGATCATGTTGTGCATTTGCAAGTTCATAGTCGACGTCGTTCGTTTAGCAGATTAACAAATTGAATATGTCAGGACGCGGAAAAGGCGGTAAAGTTAAGGGAAAGGCAAAGTCCCGATCCAGCAGGGCCGGCCTACAATTTCCCGTCGGTCGTATCCACAGGTTATTGCGAAAAGGGAATTATGCTGAACGCGTCGGTGCCGGAGCTCCCGTATATCTAGCGGCCGTTATGGAATACTTGGCCGCTGAAGTTTTGGAATTGGCAGGCAACGCTGCTCGCGACAATAAAAAGACCCGTATTATTCCACGTCATCTGCAATTGGCCATCAGAAACGACGAAGAATTGAACAAATTGCTTTCAGGCGTCACAATTGCCCAAGGAGGAGTTCTCCCTAATATCCAAGCTGTTCTTTTGCCGAAAAAGACGGAGAAGAAAGCCTAAAAAAAAAAATCTTCTGAACATACAATCGGCCCTTCTCAGGGCCAACAAGTAATTTAATAAGAAAATGAAGGGATTATCATTTGTATATGGAAAAATTTTCTCAGGGTGATATCGGATCGGTTGTGGCGCGAGAAGTTGGCAATAACTAAATTATTTAATCGAGGCATCTCATCGTCGCATTCACGTCTAATATTCGCCGGTATCTCGATAATGGGACATATCGGGACCGAAATCGTCGATTATTGTAATTCAAAGAGCCAAAACGTATAAGTCGATCAATTTCTCATATTCCGATAAACTCATTTATGTGAGTGTTTCTTTTTATTTTGTATAAAAAAAAATAGAAAATTAATGTGGCGGTTCAATCGGCAGATCCATTCTTTCTCACGAGAGTATATGGTGGTTCTGAAAAGAACCGTTTTTTTTTTCTTTGTATTGTATTTTCGTTCAACCTGTACCGTGGTAATTGCTGCGGAGTGTTTAACCACCGAATCCGTACAAAGTGCGTCCTTGTCTCTTTAATGCATATACGACGTCCATTGCAGTGACTGTCTTCCTTTTAGCGTGCTCGGTGTAAGTGACTGCATCCCTGATTACGTTCTCTAAAAAGACTTTGAGCACTCCTCGAGTTTCTTCGTAAATCAATCCGGATATACGTTTTACTCCTCCACGTCGCGCCAATCTTCTTATGGCCGGTTTCGTAATTCCCTGGATGTTATCCCTCAAAACTTTACGATGCCTTTTCGCTCCTCCTTTTCCCAATCCTTTACCACCTTTACCGCGTCCAGTCATTTTTCAAGATTCTCTCGCACGTCGAACTGTTAAAGCGAACGGGCTGTTGCCAACTGACGGTACGTCTCTCGTGACGCCCGGTTTTGTTAGCGTTGTCGTCCCTCCTATTGGTCTATCAATTGGCCAATCAGACTGTTTCGTATTTCGAGCCCATATAAATATAACTGTTCGCGGTGTTTACCTCCGCTCACTATAATATTGTCCGTTGCAATATTCACGTCGCTGCTATATAGATAATTTATATTCAGTTATCTGAAATTTAACGTAATGGCGCGTACCAAGCAGACGGCTCGTAAATCCACCGGAGGTAAAGCTCCCAGGAAGCAATTAGCCACGAAGGCTGCCCGTAAAAGTGCTCCTGCTACTGGCGGAGTTAAGAAACCTCACCGTTATCGTCCGGGAACTGTGGCTCTCAGAGAAATTCGTCGTTATCAGAAAAGTACCGAATTGTTGATCAGAAAATTGCCTTTCCAACGGCTGGTCCGTGAAATAGCGCAAGATTTCAAGACCGATTTGCGATTCCAAAGTTCTGCTGTAATGGCACTCCAAGAAGCTAGCGAAGCGTACCTGGTCGGACTATTCGAGGATACGAACTTGTGCGCGATCCACGCTAAGCGAGTAACGATCATGCCGAAAGATATACAGCTGGCAAGACGTATTAGGGGCGAACGTGCCTAATGGAATTGACGGATTTACTATTTGCCGGAAAGAGAGAGAGAGAGAGAGAGAGAGAGTACGGCGTGCGATAATAGGTTATAAAAAAAAAAACGGTTCTTTTCAGAACCATCATATAGTATGTTCAGAAAAAGGGGATCGTGTATTATGTTAAGTATATCAGATTGTTGTTTGTACGCGTGCAATTTCGACACTATTATCGTGTATGCAAAATAGCGCTAAATGGTTATACGATAGTCGCTAGTTATTACCCGTTATCCTATATCGAAGGATTGTGGTGCTTTGTAGTAAACCGTTACATTGATATTATTCTAATAACGTACGAATTGTATGTATGTGTATGGAAGTAAAATAACTTATAAGTAGCATGTGATTATAATGTAGATAATTCGACATAATATAGATATTTTGCCGTATATATTGCTTAGGCGTTTAGGCAGGCTGTTAGCGTGTAATACGTAACATTAGGTACTTTCACGTAGATCAAAAGTCAGTAATGCGTACGTCTAATAATTAATATGTAGTAAGAGATGAATTTATAACTCGATCGCTCGTATATTATATATAATATTTTTCTACTCTGGCTTATTTATTACGAATAATAGATTGATGTCTCATATTATTATCTATTTTGTCATATTACAGGAGTAATGTTAAAATTATCGCGATATATTTCGCGACTGTGCACGTTCGGATGTACGCCAGACATACCTCCGTATAATTGCGATTATCTAAAATACCTTATCCATTAGCCGTATACCGACAGTATAATTGTATTACGAATAGTCGTAGATTGTTAATTTCATGAAATATCTAATTATATAACGTATTCGTATAATATAAATTAGATCAAAAAGCCGGACGATTAGGTCCAAAGCGGATACCTTGCACGTTTCACCTTATAATTTTATCGTGTACGTAGCGTACGTGATCAAGTCGCGAAGTTAAATGTGTATTTCAAATTATGCAGATTTCATATTCGTTCAGGTTTTAGCTGTTGCTCGTATGCAATTATATCAGCGACTCAAAAAACCAACAGATACGACCGCAGGCTTGGCAGAATTGAAGCCGTCGAAATCGGTTTCGCTGCAAAGTCGGAGCGTTCAATGTTCGGTCCGACCGAAATGACTTGGGTCACGACGCTGTCGCGAACCGCGCTTTATAACTTTCGAAAACGACAAGTTAGGAAAAAAGTAACTGCAGATTCAGAATCAGAACGTTCAGATCTTCAATCGTGCCAAGTTTCGTCAAAATCAAAGAATATCAAAAACGATCATTTTTTGCACAAGAGTGATTAGGGGGCCTTTTTGAGATTCGACGCCAGCGAGCGCGAGCGCTCAGTGTTCGGTCCGCCCTAATCCTTTATAAGAACGCGAAAATTTGATCGGAGTAACAGATTCAACAGATTCGAGAGAGATCGAAGAGATTCAGCAGCGAGCAGATACCACGATGCCCTCTCCAGTTCTCCGCGACCACTCTGCCTAGCAGCATCCGAGCAGTCCGCCGAGAACGCCGAATCGTTCCGTCTCAGCGATACAGCCAGTCGAGCCGCGCACTCCTGGCCCGACCGCCGTCGCGAACGGATAGGTCCGCGGGACGTAAAATAAAATTCGAGTTGCTAACCCCTCGGGTGGGGTATTGAAACGGGTCGAAATATCGAAATACACCGAATACCTATTGTGAGTTGTGGGGTTGCCATATTGTTTGAAAAAAAACAAAAGGTGGTTTTAACCCCCACAACTGCACTTCACTGAGAGAAAAAGTTACACTCACGTTTTGGCACGAAAGGGGTAGAACGGGGAGATTATCATCTCCGCAAGAACGTTCACTCTGTGCATTATTACCTTGGATATCATCAGCAGTACGGAACAGGCCGAGCTCCGTGAAGATGACATCGAGAAATAAAAAGACGACACGACGACAGCGCGAGGATCGCCCACGCTCCCTCATCGATGACGGTGTCGACGCTGTATGCAGAAAAGAGGAAGTTGCAGGGACCACGCATCGCAGTCAGGTCATAGGAGACTTGACTTCTCCAGCCCCCCTCCGTTCAGCCACACAGGCCCAGGGTCAAGGTAGGTGCGATGTTAGTGATTTCCGTGTGACTTCTCCACTTGACGTGAATTCCGCGCCGGTGATACAGTCATTCAGCCCGGCACCAGCTCTCGGTGCAAGAAAGGGAGCCTTCCTCGACTGTCCTGCCGTCTCCTCCAACCAAGAGTCTCAACTAGTACTTGGTCGTGTCGCCGATCCGAGGATCGACAACCTGGATTCGAATCAGAATCCCCAGGTCGGCCTCCCAGGCGAGGATGCCGACGCGGTGCGACGTGCCGCGATCGCAAGCACGCGTTTCACACGCGATGCGATCGTGGGCGCGCACCCCCAATCGACCGACAGTGTTGGTCAGAGATACCAAAACATCACCGTGGAGCTAAAGTGCGATGAAGCACATACACGGTTCGACAGGAAGTGTATAGTACGCGGGGATGTCGTGGTGGTATCGAAATTAAACGATAATATAGGAGGTAGACGTCATGGCGCCCAACGTGGGGCCTTCCATGAAGGTAGTAATGGAAGACCTGCTTATTCAAACAATAATAGTGTTATAACCAGAGTAAATCGGCTGAATGCTGTACACCCGTGAATGTGAATCATAACAATATTTTACATGACAATGACTCGATTTATATTGATGATATGATTGGAATTGATATTTGTAATGGTAATGTTTGTGATTTAGGGGGTTCAGTGTATGGTGGGGGTGATAATAATTTATTAAGGGACCGATATTCTGCGCAAGGTGACCGCCTGAGCATCCATAGTGGACACAGCAGTGTCGCACAGAGTTTGCAGGATCAGGTAGGGGACTTGCAAAGTCTAACGGCGGGGATAGCTCGACTTTTAATCAATCAAAACGCGACTCAGTCCCCTCCCCCGAGGTTACCGCGATTTAGTGGACGTGATTGGCAAGATCCAGAGGTTTTCTTCGGAAAACTGGATCGTTATTTCCGTCGATATGATATTCCCAGCGAGGAATGGGCGGAAATAGCGTTAGAACAACTGGAAGGCAAAGCGGAAAAATTGTTTGCTCATTGGAAACACTTGAACATTCGGTACGACGATGTCCGTGCGCGAATTTTAAAAGAATTCGACTCACCGGAAAAGCATTGTGCCTTGAGGGCCAAATTGTTTGGTGAAACGCAAAAATCCGAGCCAACTGAGATTTTTATTGCTGCCAAAGAGGGATTGTTCGAACGAATTGCTCCGACCACGTCTCCACGTGAACGCGTCGTACAAGTGACAGCACTTTTACGACCGGAGCTAAGGATGATGCTGCGAGCTGTGCCAGTGAGCACATTGGCCGAGCTGTCCAACGTGGCGAGTGAAATCGAGGGTGATTACGCAAATTTGCAAGCTGGTGCATTGGGAGGAAAGGCGGCCCAGTCCTCTTTTGTGAAAAAAGAGGTCGGCCAGTCACGAAATTCTGACCAACCACCTAGACAGCCAAAGTGTTGGACTTGCGAAGGAGCCCATCACCAGAGTCAATGTCCGCTGAGGCAACCCAAAGGGACGAATTTCCAACGTCCAAGTCCTAACACCCACCAGAAACAGTCGGATAATAAAACGATTCCTAGGCAGAACCCTCCGGAGAGAGTGGCTGCCCAAATGGAAAGGAAAACCAAAGATAGGAAAAGTCCTATGTCTGAAGGACGGTCAAAGCAGACTGAACCACCTCGTAAGGAGGGGCGTCCGAAGCAAAATAGTTCCAAACCGCAGAACCCTTCAGCGAAAGCGGCTGCAAAAATGGAAAATAGGGGTAAAGGTTCAAGAAATCCTCCATCTACAGGGTGGTCCAATAGGACAGACTCCCGACAGAAGGAAGGACAACCGATCCAACAGCAGGTGGTGGTCGATGTCCACTCCCCTAGTCAAGGGCCTGCAAAGGTTGGAAAACCCTACAGGAAAAAGGGCAAAGGTCGCGAACGGTCGGACCTTGATGCAATCGAAATTGCAGAGTCTTTAAATTTTTGAATCGGCGAGAGGCTGAGCCAGCAGCCGTCTCGTCGGACCTCTGTCAATCTAGATCAAATCGGAAAAGGCGACGAAAACGGAAACGTAATTTGACAAACCTGATCTCCGACCAGTCGAAAGTGACAGCACTTTCCGCGAATGAGAGTAAACGATCGAGTCCGCGACTCATTCGTTTTCAAGCCCAAGTGAAGAAGAAACGGATTTGGGCCCTTTTGGACAGTGGGGCGTCCATATCTTTCATACACCCCGATGTGATAGAAGGATACAGGGTGGAAGGCAAATCCGTGGAAATCCAGCTTGCAGAAGCTGGAAGTTCCGTTCAGACTTTGGGAAAGGTTAAGTTGAATTTCAGTATTCAAGATAGATGGTTTTGTCATACGTTCCACGTTTTTCCGAACCTAAAAGATCAAATGATCTTAGGGGTAGATTGGCATCTGGCGGAACAAGCGATAGTGGATTACATGCATCATGTGGTATACGTGGGGGTCGAGAAGCGGCATGCTCTTAGTTGGTTATACCAGGCCCGTCGTAAGAATACCAGTGTTGCAGTTCCTAGCGGAACTCCACCGGAAATTGCAAAAGTGATACAAAATTTTCCGGATGTTTTCACGGAAGATTGGGGGATGGCGCATACAGCCACCGCCCGTCACGATATTGTTTTGAGAAACAATATTACTGTCCGAGAACGTCGTTACACTTACACACCTGAGAAAAGACGAATAATACAGGCAGAAGTTGCGAAGATGCTTAGTAAGGGAGTCATCCGACGCAGCAATTCCAACTTCGCGTCGCCTATTGTCTTGGTGCGTAAGAAGAATGGGGAAGTTCGATTTTGCGTGGATTACCGGAAGCTGAACGCGATAACAGTAGATGAAGTCACGCAAATGCCCAATATCCGCGAAACCATTCGGGATTTGGGAGAGGCGAAATGTTTTACGTCTATGGATTTGTTAGCTGGTTATTGGCAGGTGAAGATGTCCGAACGAGCCGCTCATATGACGGCCTTCGTGACACCCGACGGGGCAGCGTACGAATTTACGGTGATGCCGTTTGGGCTGAAAAATGCCCCAGCCACCTTCACCAAGCTCATGGCAGAAGTGTTGGCAGGTTATATCGATAAATTCGTGAAAATCTACCTGGATGACGTGTTGGTCTATTCCAATAATTGGGAAGATCACGAAAAACACGTTCATCTCGTTTTGGAAAGGTTTCGGGCGCATAACCTGACGGTGAACATCGAGAAATGCTCAATTGCTGCGAAAGAATTGGAGTATTTAGGTTTTGTAATCTCGCAGGAGATAAACCGACCCCAAGCCTGTCATTTAGCCAGCATAACGGAACATCCACGACCAAAAACAAGGAAAGAGTTGCGATAGTTCCTAGGAACGGCAAATTGGCTGAGGGAGTTTGTACCGAACTTCGCGGACATCTCCGGCCCTCTTACAGACCTCACTTCCACCAAAAACCCTTTCAAGTGGAACGAGGCAGCTGAGGCTGCGTTCCAAGCTTTGAAGGATAGTATGACCCAACCCTTACAGTTGTACAGGCCTAAGAACGACTTAGACTTTTGGATACAAACTGATGCCTCTAAGCAAGGCATGGGATGCGTGCTATACCAAAAATCGGCGGACGGGCAAAAGAGAGTGATCAGTTATGCCAGCGCTAAATTCAAGCCAGCTGAGCAGCGCTATCACATAAATGAGCAGGAATGCTTGGCGGTTATATGGGCATGTAAAATGTACCAGCCGTATCTTGAAGGGAAAAAGTTCCATCTTGTAACCGATAGCAAAGCTCTGGTTTGGCTAAACCAGTTCAAGGATGAACGAGCTAAGCTAACGAGGTGGGCTCTTCATTTGCAAGAATTCTCATTTGAGATCCATCATTGCCAAGGCAAGGACAATGAGTTGGCGGATTACTTGTCGCGACACCCGGCCAATATACAGTGCCAACAACCGGATGATAGCCGTTTAGTGGTGCCGGACTATAAGGAAACGCCTGAAACCGAGTCTGATGAGGAATCAGATCGTGCTAGTCCGCAAACGTGTTCTCTTCTCGAGCGCGACGATCTGTTCGCTGAAATTGCAGCTTCCCAACAAGACTGTCCTGAGGTGAAGGACGCGGTAAGTCATTGGGAAATGCTAAGGTCGTTGACACCAGAGGAAAGAGAACGTTTGGAACCATGGGAGAGTCGACTTTGGAATTCTTTTGAGGTTAAGGATGATCTTTTGTGGAAACAATCGTCCGTGGAGGGTAGTCATGCTAGGCAGCTTGTAGTTCCGAAACATAAGCTTGCCCGACTAATCCATAGATTCCACGATCATGAGGATGCCTGTCACCCTGGGGTACTGGAAACATATAAGTCAGCAACTAGACTGTACTACGCGACTGGTCTGAAGGACCTAGTGAAACGCTTCGTACACGCTTGTCTAGTTTGCACTTGTACGAAACCAGGCGCGGCACAGCCAGCCGCCCCCCAGAGGCCTATTCTCCCTCAAGGACCCTTCCAAGTCATCAGTATTGATCCCATGGGGCCCTACCCGAGGACCCAAACAGGAAATACGATCCTGTTTGTCGGTACTTGCATTGCGAGTAAATGGGTAGAGGCCGAACCCAAACCAGATGTAGTCTCAAAAACAGCCGTTAGTTTCTTGCATAACATGTGCACGAGATGGGGATACCCAAAACTCGTGATCACAGATGGTTCCAGCACTTTTCAAGGTAGACAGTGGGTCGAGTATCTTGAAAAGAACAGCATCGAACACCGTATCTCATCGGCATATCACCAGAGAGCGAATCCGGTGGAGAGACGGAATCAGGAGTTGAAAAAGGCAATACGAGCTAGAGTGATGTCGTCAACACTGCCCACGAGCTGGGAAAGAGACTTAAATAGCATACTCTTCGCATTGAGAAACAGGACGAATCTCGCCACGGGAATCACCCCGGCCGAGTATGTCACTGGCTACACCCTTCCTAGGCCCGGCGAATGGAAACACCCCAATTTCCAAGTCGAACGTGCCCAGCAGACGGCTGAACTTCGGCGAAAGCGCGAGGACGCGCGCCGAAAGCAGATTGTGTACGCCAGGGATTTGTTCCCGCACGCTACTGACCCCCCCGCTGTCTCATTTCAGCCTGGAGACCAGGTCATGATGCGCGAACGTCGAAATGAACCATTTGCAAAGAAATGGGTGGGTCCATATCAAGTCGTGAAACAACTCGATGATGTCACGTATGAGGTCCTCCACGATAATGGGGTTGCACAACTTCACGTAGATGACCTCAGACCATCGAGAACCCGATATAGAGTAATAAACTCTAGGGCCCGAGACATCCTCATTCCACGTCCGGACGAGGATGAGTCTCAAGACATTCTCCCTGAAGATCTTCCGTTCTCACCCTAAACTAGTGATGAAAACTATATATATATCTCGATTTTTCAAGTTGGACACGTCGAGCCCAACCAGCCATGCAACTATCCGAAGGGGGGAGTATGAAGTGTTTTGAATGGTTTTCACGCCCACCATACACTATCACCACGTATCTCCGCGATAGAGCTCTGATTTTCACTGTAATAACGTTGTAACATAAGCCCTAGTTTACCGTGCAGTGAACAGTGCGTTTGTGTGCGCGAAACCGCGGTTCCGTTCCAATCGGACTTTGTTGGAAACCGTGAGATAGACAACAACCAGATTGCTACTCACGGGAGTAGAAGCCACTTGTAAAATATTAGATATAGTTTATCCTTGCAGTTGACAGGTATCAGAGCACCTGTCACTGTTGTATATAGTTCCGTGATAGGGTAGTTTTAAGGAAACCAAAAATTGTTGGTTAATTTCAGGAGAAATCGTGTACCAAGGTAAAGTGGCTGAATAGAAATGCCGAGCGCATTTTTGCAACTACTTGGTCAATTTTAGTAAAGTTGCTGAATAGAGATGCCGAGCGCATTTTTGCAACTACTGAATCAAAGATTATGTGACATTGCTGAATAGAAATGCCAAGTGCATTTTTGCAACTACTTGGTTAACGATTATAACACATTGCTGAATAGAAGTGCCGAACGCACTTTTGCAACGAGGTAATCAACGATTGTAAGATATTACTGATAAGAAATGTATACCATTTTTGTAATAATTGAACGATTTCTGTGAATATTCTTCTCTTGCAGGGTTTGTAAGCATTATGCGACTGAAACCTTATGTAAACCATTATTATTGTGAAAATAAAGGCTCTGCGTAAAAACGCACCCAAAACAACTTCACAATAGGTGGGGAGGTGTCGCGAACCGCGCTTTATAACTTTCGAAAACGACAAGTTAGGAAAAAAGTAACTGCAGATTCAGAATCAGAACGTTCAGATCTTCAATCGTGCCAAGTTTCGTCAAAATCAAAGAATATCAAAAACGATCATTTTTTGCACAAGAGTGATTAGGGGGCCTTTTTGAGATTCGACGCCAGCGAGCGCGAGCGCTCAGTGTTCGGTCCGCCCTAATCCTTTATAAGAACGCGAAAATTTGATCGGAGTAACAGATTCAACAGATTCGAGAGAGATCGAAGAGATTCAGCAGCGAGCAGATACCACGATGCCCTCTCCAGTTCTCCGCGACCACTCTGCCTAGCAGCATCCGAGCAGTCCGCCGAGAACGCCGAATCGTTCCGTCTCAGCGATACAGCCAGTCGAGCCGCGCACTCCTGGCCCGACCGCCGTCGCGAACGGATAGGTCCGCGGGACGTAAAATAAAATTCGAGTTGCTAACCCCTCGGGTGGGGTATTGAAACGGGTCGAAATATCGAAATACACCGAATACCTATTGTGAGTTGTGGGGTTGCCATATTGTTTGAAAAAAAACAAAAGGTGGTTTTAACCCCCACAACTGCACTTCACTGAGAGAAAAAGTTACACTCACGTTTTGGCACGAAAGGGGTAGAACGGGGAGATTATCATCTCCGCAAGAACGTTCACTCTGTGCATTATTACCTTGGATATCATCAGCAGTACGGAACAGG